TAAAAATCACAAGCGTTTTTGAAGGAAACTTTAGGTACAACAGTCTCAATGATCTGAATTAAACTGAATTTAAGTTCAATTGTCCACAAGGCTGAGAATGGAGCCAAGCTCCTAAACAGAAAACAGTGAATTTATTCAGCTATTTTCTATGACAAAGAAATTATTTTTGGACAAAATTTTCTAACTCTGCAGATGCTAGAAAAAGTTGAAAATAAAAGCAAAATATAGAAAAAGGTACAAACAGCTCTGGCAGCTTCCAAGAGAAAAAAGTGAACGCTTCACATTTGTGACCAATCATCTGTGCAGTTCTAAAAAAATGATCAGCACCTCAAACATTAACCCTGCATCTCTCTTCAGACATTGCCAGACTACTGAGCATTTCCTGCATTCTGTTTCTACTTACTTTTCAAAGTCACAATGATTCAGAACTACAGCAACTTTCAGTCACTATTTTTGGGGATATCATTGAAAAAAAAAGGACACAACAAGTGGAGGTAATTAGTTCCAGAAAAGGAGAACGCTTTACCCACACCAATGCAGAAGAAATGGACAAGCTGATTAACAAGAGGTTTATGCCATGTAATGAACACCATGTTAGGGCCATTGATTTACCATGGTTAAATAAATAATTGGATTTTAAATGGGTTCTACTATAGGTCAAGGTTTGTTTACAATACAAATCTACAAGAAAGATTAATTTACACAAAATCTGACATTTTGATGTGCTATAGCTGCTGAAGACTGCAGAGATCCTATTGTATCATTTCAGAAGCTACAAACCATTAATAGAAAAGTTACTTGGTTATCTTGAAAATTTAACCAGAGCATTTCTAAAACTAGTGAAGATAATCTTGAGTACTAGGTTGGTATTAAACTATGACACTAAGATATAGAAAGCGTAAAGTATGTAGAAAAGGCTAACAACCATTACTTCTACCTCCATAACCCTGACAGGCTCAATTGCTACTTAGGTTTGCCTGTTGCTGAAGCTTGTACCAATACCTTTCATTACTTCTAACCTAGACCATACTAAGGCTACCCTGCTAGTCTCCTGTCTTCTACTTTACAGACTTGAACTCATCCAAAATTCTGATGCCCATATCCAAGATTGCACCAAGTCTTTCTCGCACATCACCCCCGCTTACTGACCTCCACTAACTCTTGATCCAGCAACATCCCGATTTAAAATTCTCATCATTGGTTTCAAACCCCTTTATGATCTTCTCTTCCTTTTATCTCTAATTCCTTCCAGTCTCAATTTTCAAATATCTGTGGTCTAAAGCTCTGGAATGCCCTAGTTACACATCTATGCAAGTCTGCTGCACTTTTCTCCTTAGCATACTCTTTAAAACTTGACCAAAGTTTTTTAAAGAGATGTGGTCTATTATATCCTAGATTTTACAGTGCTCAGTAAAGCATTTGAAACTTCAGCACAAGTCTTGAGTGACTAGACTACATGATCAGCAAATCTGCAACAAATTTACAATTAAGTTGATGATAAAAAATTACTTTTTTATATGTAAATACACAATATCACTACTGTACACTAACAGTAGCACTATTAAGAATATAGTAATGGATGAATCATTCCAATTTTACAATTCACTCCAATATTAATTCAAAACTAGTATTTCTTATTGTCAAGTTTTCACAATTCAATTTATGAAACGTTTTTTCATTCAATTTTCACAAAATTGCTATTTTATTTCCTACAATTGTTCACAAGTATTTCAGGGCACAGGAAAGGTTACAGAAGAATTATATAGGGTTAGTGCAAAGAGATGGAAATGAAGAAATTAAAGGACAGTTAGAAAGCAGTTACTAGTTCAGGGTGCCAGTTAGGATCTTCAGCGGTTGTCCAGGGAACAATAGCAAAGTTACTTAAGAACTCACTAAGTAGCAGGGACTCTTACTTGAAGATGGCTAAAACATCGAGAAAAAAAAATTAAACTTTTTTTTTGGGAAAGTAAAAATAAAAATTGGCTGTCTTTCCAGTGGGGATTTCACTACCTCTGTGTTGAATTACCAGTCTTCACCAACCAGGTAATCTGGAAAGCTGCACACAAGTGTTTTATTAAAACAAAAAAAAGTTGCCAATTATTTAATAAACAAAATAGGTAAGATCTGCACAGCTTGCAACCATCAGCAATAATTGAACATTTATTATATTGAAAATCTGTTAATTTATATTTTGACATATTCAGTAAAGTGAAAATTATGCAATTAAAACACAATTGTCATAATTTCACTGTTTTGTTCTTTGAAATAATGCTGTTCTTATCATTTTACTTATAAATAACAATGCCATGATTAATGCAGGTGTTCAGGGCAGAATGAGTTCACTAATAAGTAAAGTTTAAAAGCAGATTAATGTCACTTAAATTTAAGAAGTGATACATGTCTCACTTAATTACTCTACATAAAACTTTGAAAGTTTTTTGATAAAATGGACAACGCCTGGCTAGAATATCAAAGACAATAGCAGCAGCCCTACAACAAATACAGAGATTAACCAGTACAAAAGGAAAACAGTTTAAGAATATACAGAACATGTAGAGTGCAAACTACAAGATGAAAATTAGACTTCATAGAATCCCTACAGTGTGGAAACAGGTCCTTCGACCCAACAAGTCCACGCCAGACCTCAGACATCCCACCCAGACCCACCTACATATCCCTGAACACTACAGGCAATTTAACATGGCTAATCCACCGAACCTGGACATCTTTGAACAGTGGGAGGAAACTGGAGCACCCAGAGGAAACCCACGCAGACACAGGGAGAACATGCAAACTCCACACAGACAGTTGCCCAAGGGTGGAATTGAACCCAGGTCCCTGGTGCTGTGAGGCAGCAGTGCTAACCACTGAGCCACCGTGTCACCCATAAAGATTAGTTCATGTATCATCTAGTAAACTGCTACATGGACCTCCTGTGGTTCCAATAATAATTCAAGATTAGATTAGAGTTATAGACACTTGATGTGTCTACCTCCTCAGTTCTGAAGGCAGCAACTCCAATAGCTCATAATATCATAAGAAATAGGAACAGAAGTAGGCCATTCAGCCCTTGAGCCTGATCCACCATGCAATAGGATCACAGCTGTAGAATCCCTACAATGTGGGAACAGGGCATTCAGCACATTGAGTCCACACCGACCCTCCAAAGGAGTATCCCATCCACACCCACCCTATCCCTGTGGCTAATCTAACTAGTCTGCATATTCCTGGACACTATGGGTAATTTAGCATGGCCAATCCATCTAACCTGCACATCTTTGGACTGTGGGTGGAAACACATGCAGACACGCATGTGTGGGGTTTGCACATTTATCCAAGGGTAGACTCAAACCCAGTTCCCTGGCACTGTGAGGCAGCAGTGCTACTCATTGAGTCACCCTCTTATATCCACTTTCATGTCTTTTCTCCCATAACCCTCAATTCCCCTAAACTTTAGTTTTAGTCCAAACTATTTCTCTTCATTTGTTGACAAGCTATTCCAACTCATTCACCGGACATAAACGTGCACTTCCCAGCATCAGAAAAAGGTCGCAAAAAAACAATCAAAAAAGGACTGCTTCTTCCACTCCCAGCCTAAGGTTACAGATGACAATTATTGTACCCAACTATGATAGTAAGAACAACTAATTCATTACAAAATCAAGAATCAAACCTATTTTAGAGCTACACTGGGAAGGCTTTTATGCACTTTCAAACATATTACCACATTAGAGATGCAGCATAAATGTCAGTAGTTAGTCATCTAGATGGCCATTTAGGCACCTCTACAGTTTTAACAAAAAGCATTCATTTCATTGCTTAGTTTTTCTAGCTCAGTGGAAAGTTCATTATTCTCTTCCATTCCATCATTCTCAAAAAGATCAGAAAATAAGTCTGCTACAGATGACATAGGGAACTCCTTACACAGGACTGAGAGCCCACAGCAGACTTTACCTTGTGTGCAAAGTGAATAAGTCATACCTAGGAGCCTTGAAAACATTGTTGGCCATTGAAGCACACTATATGAAACTACAGTGATTTATTTTTCCAAACAAGCTTCAGACAAGAACGATCAAGTGTGATCCAGAACTAAGTCACACAGACAAGCAACAATATTCTCTGATATAATGACAGAATTTAGATTTACAACTCATAACTTAACATAGGTTACTTTAATGAACATCGAGTTTGCTTCTACTCCTGTCAGCAGTAATAATAGCTTGCAGTCGTTTCCAACGCACTATATAATCCATTATTTAAAAAACCAAATCCAGAAACTGTTCAATCTTGTTAGAACACTTCATGATAAGCACATTCTAATCATTAAGTCCCCTAGTAATGTAACAAAGACACATTAATGCGGCAATGTTGTATGTGATTCCCTCTATGGCAAGCACCTCGATACAAATAAAACCACAACCCATATGAAGTGCAATGACACGAAAAAAAAGTACAGTGCCCACTGCAAATTAAATAACGCTGCACCCTGGATGAATATACCAATAAGATTTTTTTTTTAAAGAAAAAAGACAGCCCCATGGCTTCTTTACTAGCTCAACTCGTCTCTGCCTTCACACAAACGCACTAGAGTTGGATTTTTTTTTAAAAAAAGCATCGGCTATGACAGAAAACACGAAGTTGCGGCGACCCCAGCAGCCATGATAGGTCCCTCACAGCACCCCCCGCCCCCCATCTGTAAATGGCGCCTTTTCTTCACCCACCCCCACCCCCTTTCCATGCCCCACCCTACCATTTCACACTTTTCTTCAAGAAGGGAATAATGTAGTTGAAAATAACTAAGCCCCAAGGTATCCTTCATGCCACACCCCCTCCCCTCTACGTCTCGGTCAATAGTCCTTCTTTGTCATCCCCTCCTTTCCTCCTTCTGTCACTGAAACCCCGACTCTGTCCCTATTCGCGTGTCAAGGCCCAATAACAGCAACCCTTCCCTTTGCCCCCCCCAATCCTCACCAACTGCCACTTACCCCGCGCACACTTACCCCTTGGGTTTTAAAGGCCCGCACGAGACCCAACCAACTGCCAGAACCAACCAATCTTCCAACGCCTTCCCGCCCTGATGGACGCACAGAAACGCCAATCGAAACCGCAATGCTGCTCGACCTCTGGCCAATGATCGGTGAGGTAGGAGGCGGGATTTTTCGGTGGCGCCAGCAGGTTCGGCTGAGCCGGAGTGCCTGACGTCACGGCTAACGGATCCTGGACGGCTTCAACCCGCACAACCTTGATTGACACAGCATTAACCAATTGGAATGCTAATCGTGCTGTTGCCCGGGTATGGGAACAGACGAATCAAAATTAAGGGTGAGGCGGGACTTAAATAACTGCCTTAATACTGGCGTTTTCCCAGCCCCTGAATAGCGTGGGCGTTGACAAAAAAGTATTTTTTATTCACTCTTGAAGCACTGTAGGCAATGTGGCTTGTCTAGACCCACAATGCCTTATTGAAGGGAATTCCAGAATTCTGACCTAGCCACAGGCAAGAAATGGTGATATATCTTGCTTGGCCTGCTGTGTTCATCCAGCCCTGCACCTTGTTGTCTCGGATTCTCCAGCATCTGCAGTTCCTACTATCTCTGATATATTTCCAAGTCAGGATGGTGAGTAGTTTGGAGGGGAACTTGCAGCTCGTGGTGTTCCGGTTGTATCTGCTGCCCCAGTGTTTCTAGATGGAAGTCATGTTGGATTTGGAAGGTGCTGTCTAAGGAGCTTTGGTGAATTTCTGCAGTGCATCTTGTAGACATTATACACTACTGCTACTGAGCATCCATGGCAGAGGGAGTGGATGATTTCTGTGAATGTAGTGCCAGTCAAGTGGGCTGTTTAGTCCTCGATGGTGTCAAGCTTCTTGAGTATTGTTGGAGCTGCACTGAATATGCTTTCATAGTGCTGATTTGTGCTTTCTAGACGGTGGACAGGCTTTAGGGAGTCAGGTAGCGAGATACTCACTGCAGTATTCATAACCTGTCAACAGTTGTGAGAATCATGTGAGATTGGCATGAGGAGATTCCCAATGCCATGCAACCAAGTTTGGAACAGCAAGACAAGATTCTCCCTTGTGAGTGATGACAAAATCATGGGATTGTAATAGTACAGACTGAGGCTATTCAGTCCATTGTGCTTCCATCAGCTCATTAAACAAGCATAATTGTGAGGTGAAGTGACAGCTCTTTATATCAAGGCCACATCTGACCAAGTGTGGAATCAAAGAAGCCTAGCAAAAGTGGAATTCATGGAAATCAAGGTAAATTCACCACTGTTTGGAGTCATACCTGGGTTTTAGGAAGATGGTGGCAGTTGTTGGAGGTCACTCACCTCAGAGTCAGGATATTTCTGCAGGAGATCCTCTAGGAGGTGTACTAGGCTCCACCATCTTCAGCAGCTTGATCAATGACCATCATAAGGTCAGAAGTGGGGAAGTTAGCTAATGTTTGTGCAATGTTCAGCACCAGTTGCGACTCTGCAGTTACTAAAGCAGTCCATGTTCAAATGCAACAAGATCTGGACAATATCCAGGCTTGGGCTGACAAATGGCATATAATATTCATACCACACAAATGCCAGGCAATGACCATATCCAATAAAAGACAATCTAACTTTGTGACACTCAATGGTGTTACCATCACTGACTCCCCCACTATCCACATCCTTGGGGTTACCATTTAACAGAAACTCAGCTGGTCTCACCATGTAAATACAGTGGCTACAAAATAAGGTCAGAAGCTAGGAATACTGCAGCGACTATCTCACCTCCTGAATCCCCAAACCCTGTCCACCATTTGCTTGGCTCAAGTCAGAAGCGTGATAGAGTATCCCCTACTTGTCTGCGTGAGTGCAGCTCCAACAACACTCAAGAAGCTTAACATCACCCAGGACAAAGCAGCTTGATTTATTGGCATCATATCCACAAGCATTCGTTCCATCACTGTCACTGAGTAGCAGCAGTGTGTACAATCTACAAGATGTACTGCAGATATTCACCAATGACAATACTTTCCATGTCCACTTCAAAGGTCAAGGGCAGCAGACACATGGGAGCACAACCACTGCAAATTCCCCTCCAAGCCGCTCACATAGAATTCCTACAGTGTGGAAGCAGGCCATTCAACCCATCAAGTCTACACCAACATTCCAAACAGGATCCCACCTAGACCACCCCCCTCAACTATATGTGTAACCTTGCATTTACCTTGGCCAATCCAACTAGCCTGCATATCCCAAACCACTTTGAGCAATTTAGCATGGTCAGTCCACCTAATTTGCACATCTTTGGATTGTGGAAGGAAACCCACGCAGACACGGGGAGAATGTGCAAGCTCCACACAAGAGTGGAATCAAACCTGGCTGCCTGGTGCTGTGAGGCAGCAGTGCTGAACCGCTATGCCATTCCAACTCAACCTTCTGAGCTTGAAATATATCATTATTCCTTCATGGTTGCTGGATAAAATTCCTGGAATTCACTCCGTAAGGGTATTGTGGGTTTACCTACAGCACACAGTCTGCAGTGTTCAAGGAAGCAGCTCACCACCACCTTTTGAAGGGTAACTAGGGGTGGGAAATAACTGCTGGCTAGACAGCGATGTCCATGTCCTATGAGCGAATAAAAACAATTCCATATGTTAGTTTTAATCATTTGTGTATTGAGGTGTTGTGATGGCATGCCAAATTGCAGCTGTGCTGCAGAGTTTGCTCTGTTTCTGAGACAGGAGATGCGAAATGTAATATAAATGCAAGTTCCTCTTTTATCACAATATGTGTCAATTAAGTATCCTATGAGGCACCAATATCTTGAGAGATCAGGATAACATTGATTTCGAGAATTAAATTTGAGCAGTTTTTCAGGGAACAAATCTGTGGAGCAATACCTCACAGTGGATCTACAATTTAGCATCATTTCCAGATAAACAAATGGAGACATCTAAAGCTAGACAGAAAGTTTACTGATTGTGAGTGGTAGTGTTCTTTTATGAACATTTACACCCTCGCACCAAATTCCTTTTTGCACTATTTTAGTGCAGGGTGTACCAACAACAATAACTTATGTTTCTATAGCAATATAAATGTAGTTAGATACCCCAATGTGATTAAAAGGACCATTACCAAAGATCATTTACCATAACCCTTATATGTAGAGATTCGGACAGGTGAAGTCCTAAGCACAAACTTAGTCAAAGGGAAAAAGAAGTGAATGAAATATATCAAGAGCTGGGTATTGTATAGAATTATTATATTTACAAGTATAGGAGTTGGGATGTAATGTTGCAGTTATACAGGACGTTGGTGAGACCTCTTTTGGAGGACTGTGCGTGGTACTAGTTGCCCTCCTATAGGAAGGATGTTATTAAATTAGAGAGGGTGCAGAAAAGACTTCTAAGGATTTTACCAAGATTGGAGGTTTTGAGTTAAAGGGAGAGACTCGATAGGCTTAGACTTTTTTCACTGGAACGCAGGAGGTTGAGGACTGACTTTATAGAGGTTTATAAAATCATGAGAGGCATAGATAAAGTGAATAGCCAAGGCCTTTTCCTTAGTGTAGGGGAGCTCAAAACTTCAGATTGAAGGCCTGTGACCAGCGGTGTGCCACAAGGATCAGTGCTGGGTCCACTGCTTTTTGTCATTTATATGAATGATTTGGATGTGAACATAAGAGGTATCATTAGTAAGTTTGCAGATGACACCAAAATCGGAGGTGTAGTGGACTGCAAAGAAGATTACCTCCGAGAAGAACGGGATCTTGATCAGATGGGCCAATGGGCCAAGAAGTGGCAGATGGAGTTTAATTTAGATAAATGTGAAGTGCTGCAGTTTAAATATATTCCAATGGGAAGATTCTGGGAGTGTTGTTGAACAAAGAGACCTTGGAGTGCAGGTTCATTGTTCCTTCAAAGTAGAGTTGCAGGTAGATAGGATCGTGAAGAACGCGTTTGGTATGCTTGCCTTTATTGTTCAGTGCATTGAGTATAGGAGTTGGGAGGTCATGTTGCGGCTGTCAGGACATTGTTTAGGCCACTTTTGGAATAATGCATGCAATTCTGGACTCCCTGCTACAGGAAAGATGTTGTGAAACTTGAAAGGGTTCAGGAAAGATTTAGAAGGATATTGCCAGGGCCAGAGGATTTGAGCTACAGGGAGAGTCTGAATAGGCTGAGGCTATTTTCCCTGGAGTGTCGGAGGCTAAGGAGTGACCTTGTAAAGATTTATAAAATCATAAGGGGTTAGGGTAAATAGACAAGGTCTTTACCCGGGGTGGGGGAGCCCAAAACTATAGGGCGTAGGTTTAAGATGAGGGGAAAGATTTAAAAGGGCCCTAAGGGGCAACTTTGTCACGCAGAGGGTGGTGAATATATGGAATGAGCTGCCAGAGGAAGTGGTAGAGGCTGGTACAATGACAACATTTAAAAGGCATCTGAATTGGTATATGAATAGGGAGGGTTTAGCGGGATATGGGCCAAATGCTGGCAAATGGGACTAGATTAATTTAGGATATCTGGTCGGCATGGACGAGTTGGACTGAAGGGTCTGTTTCCATGCTGTACAAGCCTATGACTCTTTGACTCGAGAGGGCATATTTTTAAGGTGAGAGGAGAAAGATTTAAAAGGGGCCTGAGGGGCAACTTTTTCACATAGAGGGTGGTTCTTTTGTGCAATGAATTGCCAGAGGAAGTGGTAGATTCAGTTACAGTTGCAACATTTAAAAGACATTTGGATAGGTACATGAATGGGAAAAGTTTAGTGGGATATGGGCTAAACACAGGTAAATGGGACTAGTTTAGTTTGGGAAACTTGGTTGGCTGAAGGATCTATTTCCATGTTGTATGGCTCTGTGACTCTACAAATCACTCCTAAGTGCCAAGTCCTTCTTGTCATCACTGTCACAGGAAAATGTTATTTCAGGAATTTCCGTCTGTTAAAAGATTTTAAGGCTGGTTGACACGGTGCTATGGTGTCTTGATCGCTCAGTATTTTTAGCCAAGTCCATACAAGATCTTCACGTGGCATTCTACTCATAACAACAACTTACATTTATTTAGCACCTTTAATCTTGCAAGATATCCCAAGCTGCTGTACAGTCAAGTGTCAGATCTACCAAGGGGTAAGAGAATTAGGAATGGTGGCTGAAAGCACATTTTTTGAGGCAGCAAAACAGAAGTTGCTGGA